CCAAAAATTAGTGAAATCTACAAAAGGCGAGATTGTGAAGAGTCATGATCGTCAGTATCCTGAAAGGACACGGCACGTAGAAGAAGAAGAAGAAGAAAGTGCAATATAACTTGGAATTGCACCACTGATTCAATTTTCTATTCTGCCTTTTGGAATTCTTCTGTAAGGCCCATTTGCAGGATTTTTTGACTTTTGTTGAAAGAGGAGTGGGTTGAAGACATTGCAGAGTAAAGGGGTAAAACCTTTAAATCTTCATGTGTCAGTAATTTTTCATCAGCAGATTAAGGACGATTAAAAAAAAAAAATAACCCTTCACAATGTGGCAATTTTCTATCTAATTTGCCAAATTGTTCATTATAAACCTGGCCACATTTGGATGATTCATTCCTTAAACGTTTTCCCAAATTAGTGGATCTGGGGTGTTAAAGATTCCCAAAATGTTGGGATAAACACTGTCCTACACAGAAATGCTATTTTGTTCAAAATACAACATTCTTTATCGATTTTTTTTTTTTGTGTGTGTGTGTCAGATTTTCCTTTTTCTTTTGCTATTAAAGATGAGATTAAGAATCCAGAATCAATTTGTGATGATGTCGCATTTTTCTCACTTGATTGTTTTCTTCAAAAAAAAATAGAAAAGATAAGCAAAAATAAATAATTTGGGGTCCTGTTACGACAAATGGAAATGCTTCCGTTCTGACTCAACTATTAAACTTTCCGGTACATTAGACAGGTCTGGCAAGTGCATAATATATATATATATATATATATATATATATATATATATATAAAAAAGAAATGTAAGAGATGTATATTTCATAATATATATTAAATAGCTCTGTTATTTTACATTGACCACTGTTTTTTCTTACACTGTAGAGTATTTACATGTATTTGTAAATGATTTCTTGCTCATGTACCTATCTATATTTATCCATTCGGTTATTGAGTCAATTGCTTCGTCCACCACAAGGAAAGTTGGCTCCCTGTGCCGCACCAGGAAATTTTTCTCACCGGAGTTGATCCTTCAAATCTACAAATCAACCATTTGCCCTTGCATGGAGTATTGCTGCCATATATGGTCTGGAGCCCCTTCTGTTTGTCTCGGGGTTCTTGATAAGATCCAGAGATGGATGTGCAATGTAATTGGCCCTGATCTGGCATCTCATCTACAGTTGCTCTCTCACAGACGTGTCGTCGCCTCTCTCTGTCTTTTTACAAATACTTTCATGGTAATTGCTCCGATGAGCTGCTTTCGTTGGTTCCCAGACTTCATGAATTCAAGCATCCTACAAGGCTGGCATCCCACTCTCACCCTTTCCCTGTTGAAACTGTTAAATGTAGCCGTCTCTTCTACTCCAATAGCTTCATATCTTGCACCTCACACCTGTGGAACTCCCCTTTTCCTGCTTCCCTGATAGCTATAATCTCCAACTTTTTAAATGTAATGTCAATCAACATCTCCAGTTGCCTTAATCTATCCACTATCCTTCTCCTCATCCTCTCCTCTATCACTCCTATCTGCTCTTGCTCCAAATCCTCTGTAACCCCTTGCATGCCAGTGGCTTCCCGTCTTGCTTGGGGTGAAATGCTTAAAAAAAATATATATATGTATATATATATATATATATATATATATATATATATATATATATATATATATATATATATATAGAGAGAGAGAGAGAGAGAGAGAGATGATGTGTATTGAGTCCAGAAAAGAAGAGATGCTTGGAATAAAATGGTAATTTGAAAAATCCATTCAAAATTTGTTTTCAGAACAAAAAAGTGGGGAAAGAAATTCGAATAAATGGGCAGTTTGAGAAAAAAATGGAAATTAAATAAACGGAGAGTTTGGAATAACAGTGGGCAGGAGAAGAAAAATTAAAAGTGAAATAGATGCCCATACCTGTTTATTCTGAAGCGGAGTGAAAGTAATGCATTTTGGCAGTAGTTTTTCATCAATATTAATGACCAACAAAAGTTATTGGTTAAGGATGATTATTATTATCAATATTATTATTCTTTAAAAAATTCTTTATGACCCACATTTGTTTTATAAGCACATGCCAGGTCATGGCAAAGAGCAAGCGAAGAATGTTTTCTTCACTTAACTAGATAAAAGACAGCTGTTAAAAAAAAAAACTTAAATAGACAAAGCCCTTTGCAGGATATGGACTGTATTTGTTAGAACTATTTTGAGGATTTTCTGAACAGCTGGCCTATAATGGATTTTGTTGTTTTGTTCATTTTATTATTATATGCTTTTCTGTTTGAGTAGTAAAGCTATTATATTAATAATAAACTACTTTTGAATACAAGAATAGTGATTTGAAATTTTAGGGCAGATAATGAGGACAGAGGGCTTTGAAAATTTAATACTCACAGAACAGTTGGTTGATTTTGTTTAGCAGCATATCAACCTCTATGGGTTATTTAATGCTGAAATCGAAATATTTTGAATGCAATTGTATAACTTCAACTACAGATAGAATATGTTGTTGGTCATTCTGCTATAAAATATATTATTGGTCATTCATAAAATGTTATAATATTATTGGTCATTCATAAAAATCATATATTATTGGTCATTCATAAAATGTATTGTTGGTCATTCTTTTCTTTTAAATCTTTTGTGTCATTTTAATTTGCCTCATTTCTATAAGTTGATGTATTGATCGTTGATTAATTCATTTTTTACAGCTACTCAATCCTTTACAAGTTCTATAAAGCAAGAAAATATTATTTGGATTATAGTAAAAATTTTTTGGAAAATAATAATGGTTAAACATAACAAGTCTTACTAATTAAGGGGAAAAGAGGTGGATTCATACCTAATCTGATTTATATAAACAAACAATATATTATAATGTGGATATAAAGTGGGGGATCTGTTCTATATTACAATCAATATATAACCTGATTTCTCACTTTGGGGGCACACTAGTTTCTATGCATTTATATTCCAATCAGTCATATACAGATTAGCCTGTGTAGCTAATTTGTATTTGATTGGTTTGTTTTCTAGAGCTTATCAGCCCTTTGTAGGTTATTTAAATCCAGAAAATATTATTAGAATATATTTTTTTATTGTTGAGATAATAATGGTTTACTAATAAAAGACTTACTAATTAACTCATAACTGGGGGGAGAATAAGTGGATTCATACTTTTTCTAAGGTTACTTGCATGTAAGTGAATATAACAAACCCAACAGGAATTGAAACTTGGCCCTTTGATTAACAATTCTAAGGCATTATCCATTACACCACATGCACATCCAAGCTTATGGCACCTCTAAGTTGGTTTTAGCGATTCTTTTACACATTTTGAAGTGAGAGCATATTTGAAACTAAAAACATACATTTTTTCCACATTGTGAGGGCAGTTATTTGAGGGAGCAGTTATTTAAAAATTAATTTTTGAGGAGGTGGGAAGTTTATTTAAGGAAATACTGTATTTGCTTTCCAATGACACTATCATTCCTCTATTGTTGTCCGACACAAGTAAAAAAGAAGAAAAAAAAGCATTGGTTCAAAAGATGTTAAATTTTACTTAGTGAGGATCAAACTCTTAACAACAATAACAGTATATACACCTAACTATTTTTCTATGGCAACATGCATTTTAAAGAATATAGATAACTGAATATTTAAAAAATAAAAAAAAACATACAATGAGATTGTGGAGAAGCACCAGAGGTTCATAGCAATATTTCTCAGAAACCTTGGAAATAAGTGAACAGAATCAAAAGGTATATGCAATTAGTATATATATATATATATATATATATATATATATATATATATATATATATATATAATAAAAAAAAAGAAGAGTAAGATATATAATCCAGTATTCTTATTGATATTTTTATTTTTACAAAACAGTGCTCAATGTAAATTTACAGAACATAAATATTACAAATTAACTGATTTAAAATGTGTTTTTTTCACTACACAAGAATTACCATGTTTCAAAAACCGAAGCTAAAACTTCAAATTTAATTATATAATTAAATTAAAAGCATTAGTTCTGTTTCATCTTCAAGCAAATTTTGGTTCTTAAAAAACAAAATAGGGTTCGACTTTAAATCACCTAAAGATTCCTCATTATAAGGATTTCAACTCTCTTTTTGATTCTAAGTGTACTTTATGCTTCCATTTTCCTAAAAAGTTCCTCATTAATCACATACTCCATCCATAGTATTCTCAGTATACTTCTGAAGAACCGTATTTCTGTTGCCTCAAGTCTCTGCATCATCAGTAAGGAAAATACCCAGCATTAATTTCTCTCAAGCTCACTTGACATTCTGATAAAGATTGAAAACGAATCATGTGTCAGTTTTTGTTTATATTCATTTTTTTCTTCTCCCACTCACTATTGGCTCATTAGTCAAGGTAAAAAATTTTTCAAGATTTAAAAAATATATATAATTTTTTTTTTTCTTTTCTTCTGCTTCCTGTTGCCTCATTGGTCAAGGTATAGGAGAAATTTGCTTTTAAAATTCTTAAAGATTTAAAAAATATATATCGTTTCTATTGCTTCTATTGAACTACATTTTTTTTTTTCTGATGAATGATTGATTGTCACTTTAATTAACAAACATAAATTCAGTTTCAGCTGGAACTGCTGGAATTATCTGAGCTCAGCGCCAGGCGCTAATTCTTAATAGAAACATTTCTCATTATCGAATCACTTTCATTTCTATGATTTACAAGAAGTTGTGACAAATTCTTTTATGCTTTTTATGTCAACACAGACATTGACTTTTCTTGACGTAATCTTCTTAATGGCTAATTTTCAACCCCAAATTGTTTAATGTTAAATCTGAAGCAGGAAAATGGCAAAAAAAAGTTCTTTATTATGTAAACAGTTTGAAATTTTACATAGGGATTAAATCATTACTTTTAAAATTGTTTTCTCTCCTTTTTTAAAATTGTTTATGATGCTTGAATTAAAGGAGATCAGTATATTTTAAAATCTAATATGATGTTGCTTTTAAGGAGTTTCTTCACGATAGATAGAAACAGGTGATATCAGGCAAAGAAAGAACGAAAGAAAATGAAGAGGATGATAAGGAGGCAGACTGGGATTGATAGAAAGAAATGGAGGAGGATAAGGAGGCAGACTGGGATTGATAGAGAGAGAGTAGATAGAAAAATAGATAGAAAGAAAGAAAGCAGGTAGAAAAATAGAAAGAAAGAAAGCAGATAGAAAAATAGACAGAATGAAAGCAGGTAGAAAATAGATAGAAAGAAAGCAGGTAGAAAATAGATAGAAAGAAAGCAGGTAGAAAAATAGATAGAATGAAAGCGGATAGAAAAATAGATAGAATGATAGCAGAAAAATAGATAGAAAGAAAGAAAGCAGATAGAAAAATAGAATGAAAGCAGATAGAAAAACAGATAGAAAGAAAGAAAGCAGACAGAAAAATAGATAGAATGAAAGCAGATAGAAAAATAGATAGAAAGGAAGAAAGTAGGAAGAAAAATAGATGGAAAGAAAGCAGATAGAAAAACAGATAGAAAAATAGATAGAAATGAAGAAAGTAGGGAAAAAATGGAAAGAAAAAAAGCAGACAGAAAAATAGATAGAAAGGAAGAAAGTAGATAGGTAGATTCTTTCTTTCTTTCTTTCTATCTATCTACTTTCTTACTTTCTATAGGTAGATAACAAGTGTTGGATGTCTGTTTGGAAGGACTAGAATGTCTTAAAAGAAGGAATGTTTTGTTTTTAAAAGTGGGGATCAAACGACAGACATTGGTTCTTCTCCTTCACCACCACCACCACCACCACCACCACCACCAGAAGATACAAAACTTACTTATCCGCGCTTGGATAATACCTGGGAATGCGTGGAAAAAAGAAAAATTTCCTTTCTGGCTGGCTGGCAAGGGAAGCGGAAGATTTCTTGCTTCATCGTCAACGAACGGGAAGATGATTATATTAGGGAGATAAGATTTTATATTGCTATTTCCACCATCCCTCCCCTCACGCAGTATCTTTAATCTGTCTGTCTTCATATATGGACATTCATTTTCCTAGCTCCGTTGATTGCTGAGAGCAGCCAAAAGTTGAGCACAAAATATCCCTGCCCAAACCAGATACGAAGTTGTCATCGTCATTGTCGTCGCTGGAAGCAACAGTTACAACCAGAAATAAAACACCCCACTCCATTTTTTTTTTTTTTAAATCTGCGTACTACAGGAGGAAATGAAAAAGATGAGGGCAGAGACGTGAAGTGAAGGGCAAAATAATAGCCTAAGGGTGGGGAAAAGGTTTTAGAATGTTTTCTAATAGACTATATTGCAGCAGTTGAGGCGTATAAACTGATTGCTGATGTTAAAGGGCCTTACAATCTTCCTAACTCTTGATCACTGCCTTGTTACTTTCCCGCGGTAAGCTGACAACTCAGATTTTGAATCGATGTGTCAATAAGAACCATCATTCACCTGCTCCATTTTATTGTTTCCTCTTTTGGTACGGCAATGAAATAAAATGAAAATGAATAAGGGATACAAATGAAATAGTTTTTTTTATTTTTTTTATTTCTTTCTCTTGTTCAGCAGCCGTGATTTTATGGTTGTAAGCAAGAGGAAAAGCTTAAGACATGAGCTATTTAAGAGATGTCAAAATCAAACAGGTACGAAAATTTAAATATCTGCAAAGTGTTTTAACATAGCCTGAAAAATGCAACACTGAAATCCGAAGTCACATTGAAAGAGCAAAAAATAAACTTCCAAAAACTAAGCAAAGTATGAAGAAACAGAAAAATTTCATTGGAAACATAGAAAACTATTGAATTGTTATGTAATATCGGTTCTCCTATATGGCTGCAATGCAGGACAATCTCTTCACAAATTAAGAGAGACTTGAAGAAATGGAAATGTGGTTCTACAGGAGGATGCTGAGAATTCCACGAACTGAACATATGAGTAATGAGGAACTTTTAGAAAAACTAGAACAACAATTAAAACCAGAGACAGTTAAAATTTGTAGAGAACATATTATAGAAAAGGGGTTTGGAGAATTTGACACTTACAGGATGATATATTGATGATAAAAAAGACAGAGGAAAGCACTAAATAACCTACCTGGTGAGCTTGTGTGCATGGTTGATGTAACAGAGATTTGGAGACATAGCAAAAAGATAAAACTTGATTAGAGTTGCAAAGGACAGTAGTTATAGAGAATCATGATCGCCCACATACTGATGGGACATGGCATATAGAAAAAAGAAGTAATTGTGTGATGCTTTTGAATCAGTTTCCAAAAGCTAAGCAAAGTATTAAGTAACAGGAAAATGAAAGAAGAAAGAAAGAAATCTGCAAGCCCATATGAAATCGTGTTTGGATCAATGAAAACTTTGCCATCACAGAAATTAGCCAGTCAGCCAAGAAGAAGAAGGAAATAAAATCACAAGCCTATGCAAAATTCTTTTTGATATAAAATAAGAAAAATTAAATTAATCAGAAGAGTGTCTGGAATCATGTGAAAGGTTTCATTTCATTTCTATGCAATCAGTATTGAAGTACTTGAAAGTGTAAAATTATTCACCAATTATATTACTAGTCTCTTACCAGCACGTGGCAGTTCAAAGAATTTTCTCTCAACAATCCAAGAAAGTTCAGTATTTCAAAATATTTCTCTTCATCCACTTTTGAACATATATAAACCATATATCCCTTAGGTGAGCAATGAACTTTGTTACATTTGTCTTAAACATTTTTTTAATATTATTTTGTGTCAGATTATTTGAGTCTGTTGCATGAATGATTCCTCTTCATGACAATACATTATAGACTTCAAGAATTCTGATATATTTTCCTAAAACAAGCTACTGACACTACTTCAAGCATGTAAATTTTTTAATAAATTACTTATCTTGCTTTGTTAAAATTACCCATGTGTTTCCTCACTATTATAATCCTTCATTAATTTTTTTGGCATTAGTAAATCAACAGTTCATTTTAACCTCTAATCGCTGCACCACTATAGTTCCACCAGCTCAGACCTCTACAGCTCAGACCTGACATGCCATATTCACAATAGCAAACTATCCTAATTCCCTTCATTTCTTTGATGAGGAGCAAGTTCCAATCAGACAGCTTCTTCTCCAGAACCATTAATTTATGAAACAAACTCCCAAGAGGATGCTTCCCTGATAATTATAATACTGATCTCTTCATGTCCATGGTCAACCAATATCTATCCTACATATCCTCATAATATACATTTCTTACTTCTTCCTTCACGCTCCCTTAGAACCATTTCACTCAGTAACTCTCTACTTTGAGTGGCAGTTGAGCCTTGTAAAAAAATATTCTTTAGTAACTCCCAACATGATTTGTGCCCTTAAAATGCCTTCATTACCCAACATAAAACACCAACCTGTGAATTTCCAGTTTTGATCAACAATGAAAAAATTTTAGGTGCTCTATCATACAATGGTGCATTTTGAGGTGAGTTATTATACAATGGAGTATTTTGAGGTACCTTATTATACAATGGAGCATTTTGAGGTGAGTTATTATACAATGCTGCATTTTGAGGTGCTTTATCATACAATGGAGTATTTTGAGGTACCTTATTATACAATGAAGCATTTTGAGGTGAGTTATTATACAATTTTTAGGTGCCTTATCATACAATGGAGCATTTTGAGGAGCATTATACAATGGTGCATTTTGAGGTGCTCTATCATTCAATGGTGCATTTTGTGGTGCTTTATTGAACACTAGTGCATTTTGAGGTGCTTTATTATACAATGGAGAAGTGCAAATTTCTGTAACATTATCAAAACAGAATCTAAGCTTAAATTCCTATTATGGCTGTTTATACTCTCTTTTAAACCAATGCTCTTGGGAATGCAAGGCTGGCTTTAAGCCAATTAGACATATTGCTTCCAACTGGGCTCTATGCCAAAAGAGACCTTGCACTAAGAATCTCTTCTCTTCTCAAATACCGTCAACAACACATTGCAATATAACGCCACATTTTAGGTTTTACGGAGAAGGAAAACAATTTTAATTTTCTTCAGGATTTTTATAGAAGTTAATAGTGATTGTTTATATTTTGAATCTTTCTTTCTTTTTTTCATTGTCTTTAACTCTTTTGTGTCACATCACATCACCTCAATAAATATTTAGAACTTTATTGATACAAATGAAATTTAAAAGTTAAAATACTGTAATTCCTGATGTATAATACACCTTCATCCATAATACGCACCCTTAAAATTTTGCTGAAAGTGTGAGAAAATGTTTCTACTCATGCATAATATGCACCCCTTGTTTGGTAATCAAACCCTATAAATTGTACCTCTTCAATTTCATTACGGCCAGCATTTCCTAGTCTCATTAAAAAAAATAGTCTTCAACATAGAATAATATTATTCTAATTTAGTTTTATGATAAATTTTATTTTATTTCTAATTTGTAAGTATTGTTAGGTACATATGATTGTATTTGACATCTTTATGGCGTCGCAATCACCGAATGTTAGTGTCAAATTATCATATGTTTGTGGTGCGTAGTCATTTCACAACTGAAATCTACCTATAAAACAGCAATTTTTTAAAGATTTTTGTAGCTGTGCATAATACGCACCCCTAATTTTGCTTATTATTTTTCAGAAAAAATGCGTATTATACATGGGGAATTATGGTACTTAAAATACTGCTAATTTTTTTAATCAATTTCGCCCCAAGCAAGACACAAGGGGTTACTGGGTGTGGAAGGATTAAAAAACAGAAACTATACTAAGGAGAAAGAACAAAAGCAGAGTAATCCGGAGGACAGTAGATACTAATTGACATTGCATTTAAATTTTTGCAGATTAAAATTGGTTTAAAAGCATGAAGTCAGAAGGGAGTTCCACAATCGAGAAGTGCAAGAAAACAAACTGTTAGCATGATTACATTAAGCTGTATTGATGAGATCTCAATGCCAGTCTAGTACTGTGTTTAAATTCATGAAGTCTAGGTACCATAGTGAAGAGCTCATCTAAACAATTACCATGAAAGTATTTATAGAAAAGGCATAGGGAGGCAACTTTATGGTGGTGGGAAAATGACTAAAGCTGAGCTGCCATATCAGGACAAATAATATTGCTGATTCTTCTTTGGATTTTATCAAGGAGATTTAGGTAAATAGCAGGGACACCAGACCATATGTGGCAGCAATATTGTAAGCATGGATGAATGGTAGACATACAGATATGTAAGATAGATTCTGGAGAGAATTTTATACTAAATATCAGGTTTCCATGTTTTGAGCTTTAACCTGTCTCAAGATTTTTAACCTCTAGTGTCATCTTGGTAATTATAGATATCATAGACTCAAAATCTTGACCAAATATACTCTGATTATCATCAGGTGTCTTGACTGATATGGGATATCTATTGATTATTGTGTCATTTTTGTTCCTTTGATGTCAGTTATTGTTTGTTGCTATTGAACTGCTGCTTCACGACCTGACCCATGGATTGAACTTTCAACCACTAGATGACAATAACGCATATATAACTAACTCCTACCTAAGGGTTTTGGGGTTTAAAAATTTACCTTGCCTAATATTTTCATATTATCAAGAGTTTTATTGCTAAAAAATTATTTCACCTCCCAGTTTCATAGTAAATTATGTTAGTTTTAAAAAACTTATCCATGTCACATTTTCATATGAAAATAGAGTTTTTATATTTCTAAATTTAACTTGCCTCACATTTTTAAAACTCAGAAACAAAATTGTATTCAAAGGTTTTGATACTCTTCATCAGACAACTTCTTTTGATACAAAAACTGACAAGGTTGCATGGTTCCTTCTTAAAGAATACAATTGTCACAACTCACGAAATAGCACTTGAATCTGAGGCAAATGGATCATGTTTTTAACACTAAAATCATTGATTTAGTTTAAAATAGCAGCTTTTAGAGTATTTTAACTTTCAGAATTCTTTTCAGATCAATCAATTTTTAACACTTATTGAAGTATTCCAAGACAGCGTGAATTGGTGCAAAAGAGCAATGCACTATTTTTTTTTTTTTTACTGTAGTTGAATTAATTATAGAAACTCATGAAAATTTATTTCTTCAAAAAAAATTATATATAAGTATTTTATGGAATAATGGTGCTCACTTTGCACTAGTTGGAAAGGCATGAATTTTTTCCCCTACTTTTTTCCCATCACTAGAGCATTTTGAAAGAAGATATCACATCACTGATACGCCACAACTGTTGCAGGCGGAAAATGTGTAAAAGAAATAGGGGAAATCTCTTCCTAGAAATTCTATGCCGGCCAGGCAGTAGTAACACAGAATTGTTATCATGATAGAAAAGTATGAACAGACTGAAGGGATAGCTCAATACATATGAACAGACAGAAGTGGATAGATAGATAGATAGATAGATAGATAGATAGATAGATAGATAGATAGATATATATAGGTAGGTAGGTAGGTAGGTAGGTAGGTATGAACAGACTGAAGTAATTAGGTAGGTAGGTATGAACAAACTGAAGTAGTTAGTTAGGGTAGGCAGGTATGAACAGACTGAAGTACATAAATAAATACATCCTTGTGCAAATTAATGAAAAAAAAAATAATTCCATTATTATTTACTTTTTTTTCATATTTTACCAATGAAACATGACCCAGTGCACATGTTAGTAATTTTTATGTCCATTCCACAAAGTCATTCCTTGTAGGTTGACCACAAATTCTTGACTGGATTTAAATCAGGAGAGTTTCTGGACTAGTCTGTAGTACTTTGATTTACTCACTGGTTAGGCTTGCCAATGTGTTTGTGCAGTATTACATTTTTCATGCCCTTCCTTGGATTAACATCAATCACAGACAATGACCGTTGGATAACTAATTAACAGTTGAGACAATAGTGTCAGGGTGTGATAAAAATCTGATGCAATCACGGATGACGCAGTATTTTTTAAGGCCAAACAAATTTCATCATACACCCCAAAAATAGATTCATATTACTGCACACCACTGCAAATGACCTAATCTGAGGAAGAAATAGAAATTGATTACACCCTGTCACTCCAGTGGTTCTAAAACTGACTGTATGATGAAAGAAAGGAAACTAAAATGGTTGTTTCAATTAATTTGAACAAGTGTGTAGTTAGATAGATAGATAGATAGATAGATAGATAGATAGATAGATAGATAGATAGATAGATATAAGTGCTGATTGACTTGGCCAGAAAGTATTTCTTTTGCTTAAGTGAGATTATATTAACAAACCTCACCAATCTGAAGCTTTTTGATAACATGCCATTATTATACTTTAATAATTTTGAGTGCTAGGGAATATGAAAAAGAGAAAAAAACAATAAAAAAAAACAGGAATTAAGAAGACAGAGGATAACAATTGACATTGCATTTATATTTTTAAAGGTCAAAGTTGACTAGGAATCAAGAAACCGGAAAAGAATTCCACAAACGAGAAGTGCAATAAAATAAACTCTTAGCATAGAAGTATCAGTTACATCTAGACATCTCATCTGTAAACAAATATAACCTTGTTATAGATGTGATTATAAACACAATCTTTTGGTCATCATCAGATAGCAGTTGGTTATACATGTCTTAATGTCATCTAGGGGTTGTGAGTTCAATCCCTGGATCAGATAGTGAAGCACTGGTTCAGCAACGACAAAAAATAATCAACATCACAGGGACAAAAATGATACAATAATTAATAGATATCCCATATCAGCCAAAAAATCCAATGATAAGCAGAGGATATTTGGTCAAAATGCTGTGTCTCTAATAACATCTATAAGGACCAAGATGGAACTAGTAGTTCAAAATAGTTCAAGTATTTTGACAATTATTAATATAAAAAATGAAATACAAAATTGTTGTTATAATTATTGCATTATTCAACAAGTTATACTTGTTTTAGAATTGGAATGAAAACAGCCTCAAAGGGGGAGTAGGAGGAGGAAGAGGCTTAAGAGGAGTAGGAGGAGAGGAATTCTTTTATTTTCTGATTTGTGATTAAAAACATGAAACCAATGGGGTGCCATATTGTTTTGCAACAGGAATCAATATAGAATCCTAATAAACAGTCTGTTGCTATTAAAAATTGCTCAGTGACATGTTAGGAGATTGTTGAGAGTTGAAGTGATGTGGGTAGAGATATCCAAGTGTGTAGTGAATGTTTAATAGGCTTTCCAGTGGGTGGAGCTCATTGACAATAATGGCAATGTTGTTATCAGGATCCTGCCTGCCAAGAAATATTACCTGACAAAAGCTGTTAAGCTTAATTGATGTATTTGCATCGTTTTGCCTATTTTTTCCCCTTCACTATTACTTTTCTGTCTCCTCACTTCCAGCAAAATAACAAACACGGAACAACAATGAAAAGTTTATAAAGACAATGTATCTACAAACTAAGGTTGGAAACCAGTTGTCGGAAAAAAAAAACTACCATATTCCATAACATAGAAAAATACTTGCTATTTTTTTTTTTTACTCAAGGAAGGACTAAAATCTATTGTTTCTATGTGAGATATCTGGTTGGCTAATATTTCTTTTATTTTTTATTTTTTTAAGGTTCACCCTGTAGAAGGCCTGGAGGCCACTCAAGGTAGAGGGTTATTTTAAGGGGTAGTTTATATGGATAAGATAATAGGTAACTTTAGTCTTGAATCGGTTAAGATTGTTGCAATTGGGGAAACATCCTCTTAGGTGTCACTTCCACAAAGCAGTTATACAAAGGAAGTGGAACTTCTCATTGATGGAATACAGTGGGAATGTGGGTGGTTTGCTATAATGTAAATGGCATGGTAGATCCTAGGAATGTAGTTCATCCAAGTACTTTCCATAAAATTAGCGGTAAAGTAATGGGAGGCTCACTATATCCCACCTGTGAGAGAGAGGTTGGAGGGTGGAAAATAATTTTTCTAAAAACAAGGACAGAGACGCTTTTGAACTTTATCAAGATTTGAAAGTGAGAACTGGGATGTCCCCACGCAAATATGACAGCAGTACTCCATTTTTGGGCTAATCTACTTTATAAAGGTAAAGGATTGCATAAGGAGTCAAGTACTTACTGAAGTGGTCAGATGTAATTGTACCTCACCAGTCACATGTTAGATTAAGAGTTGAAGTGATGTGAGTAATATATTTTTTATGCCATACCCCTTCACGACACATGCAATCATAGCTCTCCATAGATTCCATATCTTTAATAGATGCTAATTACAATGTTCTTGGGAATAATAGTGGTGTAGTTTCCCATTGCTTTTTGAATTCAGAGTTGTCCTTCTTTTAGATTGGCCACAACTCAAGAAAGTGTTCAAATCTTCAACTATGGATTCTATTTTCTTACAATTGATGGTTAGTCCTTTCTTCTCACTTTCTTTTACTACCTTCTGGTGGAGTGCCTTTAGTTTACTTCTTGTATCAACACTGCCACCTACATATCTTCTCAATCAACAGTCTTCTCTTTTCCTTATCAAAAAACAACATAGATAACAATAAGTTTAGCACAGATTAGCTGACCACTCATTACCACAACTGCTATGTAAATTAGCTGTCAGTGCCACATTCCTAAACAAACACCAAATGGGCTATTATTAAGGAGAACAATTCAAACTTCACATTCACAGATGCACTAAAATGAATATGTATCAACTTCCTTTAAGAAATTCAGACAATGCAGGAAAGTTGAAATACATATTATTTAAAATGTTATGTTTAAAGCCATAGCGAAAAAGATGGAATAATAAAAATATTTATTAAGATACAATATCATAACATGAAGTATACTTATTAAGTTGATAGAAAATTCTTTTATTCATGGAAATTAATAGTATTGTTATTCAATCACCAATATATATTTCCAGGATTATTTTATGTTAAGTGAATCTATTTTTATGAATGAAACTTCTCCATGTTCAAAGACTTACAAAGAACGCTTTGATGTTGTCAGATGAGCTTACAAAGTGGAGATCTACCATCCACATATTCATATTCATTGGTTCGTGTCAAAATGAAACAAATTGGCTGGCAAAGTCAGTGGTTGTAAAAATCATTTCAAACCAATTTGTTTACTATCATTCCCTGACTGTTTTAAAGGACACGTAAACTATACCGTAAAAAATCCAGCAACTCTCAGCTGAAGTTACTTTGAAATAAACTTCTCGCAGTTAAATTTCTATGTTTTTTTTTCCTTTTTAGCCACTGACCAAATCAGTAAGATTAAATCAAAACATTTTTTTTTTTACTATAAAACTTAGTTGGTCATCTTGTCATTCCATGTGCTTTTCTTTATCTTATTTCTTTTGTCACACATGTGATATGTTACCTTTCAGGTAAATCTTATGTTGATTGTGATAGGCTTGAAATGTTACAGTTAATCCCTCCTCCGTTTTTTTTAACAAATTGAAAAATAATACATGTTTCATGACAGTTTATAATCTTCTTTATATTTGTCTAGAGATATGTGTGTATTTTGCTAATAGATAAAAAATGAGAATTCTTCTTCTTTTTCTCATTTTTTCTTCCTTTTCTTTCCCATTTTTCATTGCTTTCATTCTTATTTTTCTTTCTGTTTCCTCTTTCAGATCTTTCCTTTCATCCACTTCTGTTTACCATTTTCTTTTCCACATTTTTTTTTAAATTTGTCTTTTTTGGGACATCTTTCTTTTCTTTCTTATCTTTCCTTCACCTTTTCTCTTTTCTATCTTTCCACCATTTTCCTTCTTCCTCATCCCCCTTTCCACCTCTTTAACATACTATCTTGTCTGGAGATTTATCTTTATTTTTCCAGTAGATAAAAAAAGGAAAATTTTTCTTATTTTTTTCCTTACTTTTCTTTCACATTTTTCATTTTTTTTTTCTTCTTCTTCTTAACTGATCTTTCCTTTCATCCACTTTTGTTTAGTATTTTTCTTCTTCATTTTCTTTTCATTTCATCTTTTATTTGGACATCTTCGTTTTCCTTCTTTTCCTTCCTTCATCTTTTTTCTTTCCTTTCTCTTTTCCGTATTTCCACTTCTTCCTTTCTACCATTTTCCTTCATCCTCATCTCCCTTTCCACTTTTCTTCCACCTCTTTTACATTTTTCTTCCTCTTCTGTTACATATTTTATCATTTTCCTTCTTTTTCTTCTTTATTTCTCTTTCTCTTCTTTGTTTCACATCTTCCTTTATATCATTTTTCTCCTTCCTCATCTTCTCCCTTATCTTCTATTTCTTTCCTGTGTAAATATCAATATTCAAAAACATATTTTCATTTCCTTTTCTTCACTTTATCATCTTTAAATAAATGTGTACCTGATACAAAATAAACAGTTTAATAATTAAGAGGTTTTTTAAAAAAAAGTTTATTCATTCTCCAATCTTATTCATTTTTCTTTTTTCAAAGAAATGGCTAATATTAACATGACCATCACCAGACTGTTCTGTAATATATCTTCAAATATTTATTGCCAAACACTTCTCCTCAAGAACTCTTTCTTGCTTCATTTTTTTTTTCTGTCTGTCAACAGGAGTCAGGTGGAAAGAAAAATGACATTGGAAATGGCTGATGAGAATCCAAAATTGATTAGAGTTGGAACAAATAAAAAAAAAAAAGTATTAAGAAATAAAAAAAAAAAGAATAAAAAAAATGTAAAAGACAGAAAATATTTCCAACTTGGCAGGAAGGGCAAACATTACCAGGCAAATATGTTTCCGAAAAATGTCATCTGTGGGCACCATCGCAACTACTCTTGAAAACCTCCCTAACATCAGAAATTTGAGAAAAAAAATATAAAAAGAATAAAAAAGATGACACAAAAGTAATAAAAGTCATTGAAAGATAAACAGACATGAATGAACACAGTGAGGAGTTCTGAAAGGCCTGACTTGATACTGGTTGAGAGATGAAGAGAGAAATGAACAGGTTGAGATAGAAAGATCTTGAGTCATAATGTGATTTTCAGGTACTTCCCACACTGGGATCATCTTCTCAAGCCAATATTATCAAAAACTCACCTTCTTGAGAAATCAACCATGTTGAAAATCGAACCCAGGTGTCATGGTTAGAATGATAACATTCTATCCATTTAACCAAACACACATATAGCAATAACTAAACAATACTAAAATAGAACAAGACAAGGACATGGACATTGGAACAAAAACAGTCTATGTAGGTTGAATAAAGGGTTCAGTTGGAAATTCTCTGAATTTAAATATATAAAGAAGACCAGAGAGTGTACTGGCTGAAATGTTGATATGAATTGGTTGAGTTTAGAAGATTCAAATGTACAGATTGCATAAGAGCAACACATGTTTTAATCCTGCTGATGGGCACAGTTTCTTTATTAAACTCAGGTCAGTAGACAAAGATTATACCATTTAAAAATATAGATGTTGATGGAAATACATGTATCCATTAAATATAATGTATAGTGTTCACTCTGTACAAGGCCCAAGAGCCACTCAAGGTAGAAGGTTACAGAATAAGAGGCAAAATTTATGGGGGTATGTAGAGAAGATAATAATTAACCCTAAACTTGAACAGGTTAAGACTGTAGTGATAGGAAAAGCATCCTCTTGGGAGTTGGTTTCACAAAGCAGCAGTTTGTGGGAAGAAGCTGCACATGTGAAAATTACATCTCACCTTGATCTGATCCTAAGAATAAAGTACAATTTGTTCTTTGCTAATCTTTAATTTCTGAATAATACAAGTGAAATAAATATTTTTTCACAAATGATTTTACATCTTCCATTTCTAATATAAATTCAAAATCAGATATTATATTTGATTAAGTCAAGTGAAACTTAACAATCTTAGAAAAATAGAAATATGCATTTCTAGAAACAAAAATCTTAAAAAATATTATAACTTCAGATTTCAGTTTTTCCATTAATATATATATATATATATATATATATATATATATATATATAGTAAAGATAATAAATCTGTTGGTATGTAATCCAAGTGGATCTTAGCAATATAATTTAATATTAAGTAATTTTTTTATTTATTTATTTCATTTTCATTTTTAAATGTATAATTTATTTTATTATATTTTATTTATAAATATTTTTTATTCTTTAATATAACCTATTAATTTTATATTAAATATAAACTTTTTTTTTTAATATAATTTTACTTAATATTAATATAAATTATCTAAATATAACTCATTTTTAATTTATTCAAATACATCTTATTTTTACATATAACTTTTCTTTGGAAGAGTAATTTTAAGTATGATTTTGTATCTTGAAATATAACTTTATCTTTATAATTTAAGGTTTTTTTTAAAAAAAAAAAAGCAAACACCCTTTTATTCTTTTTTTTTTTGTTTCAAATTAACATTTCATTCTTCATATAACCCCAACTTCATGTCATAAGGTTAATATCTGGGCTTAAATTTATAAAACCTCTTACTTTTAAGACTAATACCTTCCACCCCCGGCCACTGTCTTGGAACTTTCCTCTGACTGAAACATTGAATAAATTTCTAATTCCAACACAAACTCAGTCTATAACGGGGTTCAATAAGACTGACGTATCTTGCCGGTTGAAACAAGCCTATTCTCTATATGAGGTAATTTTGGATTTTATTGTGTACTAACTATATATATATATATATATATATATATATATATAAGTGCGCAGGTATGCAGAAAATAGAAAAGAACACATTGGGTGCATAATCCGGAGTTCCTTAGTATTTTTGTTTTTATTTTTAAGAAGACAGTGCTTCATACAGAAGTAGAGCTTTATTATAATATTTTTTGTTTAAAAATGATTCCTTCGCTACATAAGAGTTCTCATGTTTCAAAAACGAGAGCCGAAACCATCCAAATAATTATTAAAATTAAGGTGAATTGAGGTGTTTAGTCATGTTTCATCTTCAAGCGAAATTTTAGGAATCCTAAAATTTCCTAAAAATTTCGCTATAGCCAAAATGTTGGGTGAAAAACAAGATAAGGAAATTAATCTAAAGAAACTCAGATTTTGATTGACTCACCTCATGTTAAATAGCAGGACAGATTAAGTTCTCTAGCCTTGAGTAACAACCAGTCTAGGAGAAGGAAAACTTTAAATTCAAAACTTTGGTGAAGGCAGCAGGAAACTCTCCACTGTCTTTTCCAAGACGTCATGGATATTTCCAGATAATAAAGGAAAGGAATCCTCATATTCGCCTACATCCTGAAGAGACATGATATTAAAAAGTATGTGTAGGTATGTGTCTGCATACACATCCAAGCAGCAGTCTTTCATTAACATATATATATATATATATATATGATTAAAATCAGAGTGAAGGAATATTTTTTAATTTTTTTTACTCATAATTCCTTGTTTACATAGATTAGTAGTTTGTGTATGTGAGAATTATCCAAATGTTTATGGTCAAATGTTTTTTTATTTTTTTAACCCCACCCCAGTAAGGTAACAATGTCACTAGAATGCAGTGGAGTGAAAGTGAATGAGTTCAAGAAGATTGAAAATGAAAAGGATTGCAGAAAAAGCAAAAAAGGGATAGGGTTCAAGATGACAGAACATAGTGATTGACATTGCATTTAAATTTTTGAAGTTATCAGGGAAGCAAGAAATTAGAAGTGTGTTCCACAGGTGACAAAGAAAACACACTGTTAAAGTGGAAATGACAGTTTCATCAAGCTAGTTCAACAGTAAAATGGTGAGCCCTAGTTACCTATCTCGTAGCATGATTAAAATTTTTGTAGTTAGGGCATCAGGAAAAAAAGCTTGTCCAAAGAGTTACCATGAAAATATTTAAAAAACAAAAAGTGACTAGAGATGAGATGCCTTGTCAGGATCGATTGTATTACAGACCTTTCTCTGGATTTTGTCAAGAATCTTGAGATGCACAGTAGAAGCACCAGACCAGATATGGCAGCAGTTTGCCAATATTCTTTGATGGACAATAATCCTGAAAATTGTATTGAAAATCTTATTCAGCCTTGGGCTCCTTATCTTAAGAGCTTCAAGAATGTAAATTCTGCCTCAAGAATCTGGCCTGAAATACTATGAAAGGAATTCATACCAAACTCTACAACATGCTGATGTAGAGTTCAGTCAGTAAGAGATACTCAATTTGACCCTCACACCAAACAGAATAATTAGAGTGCTGGTAAGGACCATCCTTACAGAAATAGGGATTTGGATATATTTTGCTTAAGGAAACAAACTCTCACTAAAAAGAGGTTTCATATCTTAGTTTACAGATCGCAATAGCTGTTAAGGAGATGTGATTAAATATGCTTTAATGTTTACAAAAAATTTAATTCGTATTATTATTGTTTAGATAATAAGCATTATAACATAGCACAAAATCGCTATATTGTTCAAATAGCAATTTTCAAATATATATGCATTTTTTTAAGTATTTATAGTTATTTTTTAGCTTTTATCAAAAATGACATTTTTGTACATGTAGTTATGGATAATATTATACATTAATTACTAATTTTTTTAATTAATAACTAATTGTGCTCAGTTGTTGACATTAATAGCTATCTGCTAAAGTGCTAAAATTTTGGAATAATGTAATAATAAAAATTTAAATTTCATCTCTCGGATAGATGTCATAATCTGTTAAAATTTTTCTTGGTTCTCTTAATTGATTACCAAAATTTTTATAAGTTTTTATTGTTTATTACATGGAGGTTCTTTTTCAGGACATGGAGAACAATTCTTGATTATTTCACTTATTATTTTATGCACCACCATTATGACCAATCATGGATATCCACAGCTTCCTTTTCTTTGAAGCTCTTAGAAATGTTTATTTTTTTTTTTGACTATTCCCCCCATTCTCTGTACTGCAATTAATTTATGCAAACTTACATGCCATTTCTTGCTCCAGGTAACAATTGATTGGAGAGAAATAAGAATGAAATCAGTAAAGCACTCCAAATTTATCATAAAAATTCAGAAAGTGGAATTAGTAAATACTAAACACTTCAAATACCTACATGTATATAACAAACATAATATATTAGATAAAGAAAGTGAACACTGTATATGTTGCAACAGTAACCCTTCAAAATGTTGGGGATCATGGTTCTCCACAACTTCCTATACTTTGTGGCTCTTATCAATGTTTTCCTTTTTACTGTCCATTTTTACTGTTCTGCCATCCATTTATACAAGCTCGTTAGGTAAGTTACTTGTTTTTTTTTCTCTGCCCCTCTTGCCATCAATTTGTCCTGTGAGTGTCAAATTCTCCAGGTCCT